TGTCAGAAACGACTGCAGAGTTAGTATCTGATACTTCATCATCCGAGGATAATCCTTTATTCATCCTTTGATAGTCCCTACGTCTAGTAGTCTCTACGCGTAGCTGAGTTAGACGATGTGATATGAGGCGGTAAGAACTAGAAGGTCGAGTTGACTTTTCTCTATCAGCCATGTTAATTATGACTTTTGGAAGTTCGTCAACTTGAACGGCTGATCGTTTCTTACGGAAACATCTTGGATTAGTATTCGATGCTTTAGAGAAAAGCCTTTGGAATACCGAACCCTCTGTGGAACGGTCTTAGGACAGCTACACACTGATAATACTGCCCTGATTATTTTGACGCATGGACATTAAAAGTCCATCCCCCGGGTATTTTTCTTTCGAGATTGGTCGTACCCTCAGCCTGATAGTACAACTCATCGGTATAATTACCGGAGTAACCTATCGTGTGTTAACATGACTTCCTAGATATAATGTCATCGCTGTCGGACGAAAACGTTTCCTTCTGGGGGTTTGACGTCTTGTTAGCACTCTTAAGAGTCGCATGTTTTGAGCTACGCATTCGTGAGCGTGGGACCTCAACGGGCTCTTGGACTTCGACAAGTAGTCTGAGGCGATTGGTTATGGGAGTTTCCTCTTTACAAAAAGGCTCAAACTAGTTGTGAGGGCGAGTGCGACCCCCAGCTCGAGTAGTTGCTCGGGGTTCAGTCACCGAACCCAAGCGTTCTTTGATCGGAATTTTGTCTCAATCCTCGTGCAAAGGACCCAAACGATCTGCCATCCTCATCTTGAATCGGAACAAGTCCACGCAGCCGTGGGGCTCTACTGGAGGTGCGTGATTCATCGGGACAGGAACAGGGGCTGTTGGAGGCTTAGACGGGACTGCAGGGACTACAGGAGGTTAACCGGGTGCAATACGAACCGAACCGGTTCGGTTCAGGCGCGAACCACCATTTTATGGCTCAGCCTGGGCCGAGCCTTCATTTGGTGGCTCGGTTTGGGCCGAGTCAGCCAGAGGTGGTTTGCGAGTTTCGGGTGTTGTTCGACTTTTTTTCGATGTCGTTTCGTACTTTCGCTTCCAGACTTGGCAAAATTTTGGTGGCTTCTTGACCACCTCTTCCTACTTTAGCTTCTGCACTTCTTGCATGAGAATCCGTGCATGCGCAAGTAACGCATGATATTTCTGGATCCGCTCTTTGAGGGTTGAACGAGTCCTTTTGATGCGGACCCATTCATTCATTGGTTGCTTGGAGGGGAGGTCATTTGTTTGCTGTTGAGGCGCTCGATGCTCCTTGAATTTTAGATCCGCCTTATAATGAATCCCTTCTATCGTCTCCAAAGACTTGGTGAATTAGCGTGCAAGGCATTAGCGCTACCTTTCGTGAGCTCTCTATGATAAAGTGGACGCGCCTCCAACGTCTATCTCCTTGATTAAGGAGGAGTCCATATCTGCAGATCTGGCCTCGTTGGATGCCGAATGGGCGTTGCAATGCGTGATTGCAACAGCAACGGGGGCCTTGATCTTCCTGATTTTGCAAGGGGCGGAAGATCTGGAGGAGGACAATGACAGATACTCCTCGAATTTTAGTTGGTCGAACTCGTACTTGACCTCTTTGTCAATCGGGATCCGGATCCATGGTTGCTGCATGACAACTTTGGCAGCGAAGCTGTTAGCTCCCACTCTGGTCACCAGCTTGTTTGGGAGGAAAGTTGATATTTTCATTGATGTATTCATTAAAACTTTAGTCGTTACAATAAAAACAAAAAAGATAGTCTTTTTATAAGACTCTTACACAATAAAAACAAAAAATTATAACTCTCATCAAAACAAACACAACAGATGTTTATCACCCGCTGTTTGTGTGGGATCTTTGCCTGTAACAGGGATGTTGATATCCGTGGACTACCAAATGATCAGATCAATCCGGAGTTTCATTGATTCGCGAAGGAATTAAGAAACCAAAGTGATTATCTCGGTAACAGTGAGATAACCACTCTTCTCGAGATCGCAGCTAGATACGATCTCAAGGGAAAGAATCGGGAACAGCATATCGGATGAACTCTTCTTCTTTATGCTAAAGAACTTGATCCGATCTCATCTTATTTTCTAAAATTCATGCTCCTTCAGTCTTCAATTTAGCAGGGCATCGCCAACGCTCGAGAATTTCAGATCTCTGCAAATGAAGGCCCTAAGCTATATTTATAGGTTTCAGGAGCTCTGTTTTTAGATAAGAATGGTCGATTCAGTCTTATCCTCAGTTATAACCATTTTATCACGTTCTTAGATGATATTTAGATTAGTTAGAATAAATCCGGGTGAAAACAGCTTCAAAACAGCGAAAACCGACTTTTCTGGGCTGTAGACACCCGCGGTGTCTCGGCCAAAGCCGAGACACCTTAGGTGTCTCGGCCTTGGCCGAGACACTTACGGTGTCTTAGCTTTGGCTCTGGGCTTTGTTTCGTACGTCCCGTCCGTTTTCGCCGTATTTTTGTCGTCTGAACTCGGAATTGCGCGATTCAAAGTGTGTAGGAAAGATGATGAGGAGATCAACAAGCTCCCATGGTTGAATGAAATGTGGAGTAAACAGGACACGATGGGTGGTTCGTGTTTCATAAAAGAAGTGTAGCTCCCGATCAGTTCGTGTTTTCGTTATTCTGAAGTTCTATTTCTTCACACGGTTCGTCGACTCACATCACGTGCTTGTCAATGTCAAATAAGCTTCTATGACTCGGATAGTGACATTCATCATCTTCTCTCTGTCTCGAGCCACATGCGGGAACCTATAGGTATTTTTAGATACCTACACGGTCGACCACCGAATTCGTCACGGTCGACTACCTAAGAATCGACAGAAAACAATTCTATTACAGGATCTCTGCAATTGGCCACTGCGGTCAACCGAAACCAATGACAGAACATAAATCAATTACAGGGTCTCTGCGGTCGACTGTTGCGGTCAACCGAAAACAACTCCAGAATCTGCCTTCGACCTATGCACGTTTACGGTCGACCGCTGTTGATCTCACGATCGACCGACAAGCTTCCAAACAGTTTTCTACGTATAATTTCATGAACTTTTCAACTGTTTTGCCAATTCTACAGCCCCTCCTTTAAGAAAAGAATCTTCAAAATACATCAAATATCGATTGTACTCTTAAAACATGTTGGAATAAATTTCTTATGAAAATAACAAATTTCATATTTTTAGATTGATAATAATTATATTAAGAAAAGATAAGCATAACTGTAGATATATTATTTTAATATAGTTTTAGTTTACTAAAAAGTAACTTCTTATTTGAAATATTTATGTGATTTTCTAAAATCAGATGGTTGGGATTAGTTTTAGAATATTCATGTGATTACTAACATTTGGAAAATTTTAAATTAAGAAGTCCAAAAATAGGAATAATTTTGGAATAAACTAATATTTTAATTAAAATTAGATTTTATGAATTTTCAAAATTATAGATATTTTAAGAAAATATAAAATCAAAAGTTCTGAATAAAATCCTATCTTTAAAAATAATTGAAATAAAAAAGTTTGAAATTCAAAAATGATAAATATTTTAGTATTTCTTAAAAATAGTATTAAATTTAGTATAATTTGAAATTTTGATTAAAATTAAGGTTTTAATATTTTCAAAAATATAGAAATTCCAAGGAAAAAAACCTAAGTTCAGTAACATAACATTCTGGAATAAGGAACCGGATCTCAATTTGAAAAAAAAAAACTTAAAATTAGATTTTTAAAAAATATAAAAATTTCAACCATTCTAGTAAAGTTTCAGTAATATAATATTTTAGAAAATTTGAAATTATTAATTTTTTTTAAAATAAGAGCAGAATCTAAATTCTAAAATTTAAATAAAATTAAATTTGGAAATTAATAAATTCATATATGTTGCTAAAATTTTCTAAATTTTTGTAATTATTATAAGATATATGTAACACCAAAAGCAAGTTAAGATCTCAACTAATTTCGTAAATAATCACTGAATATTCATGTGATTATCAACATTTGGAAAAGTTTAAATTAATAATTCCAAAAACAGGAATAATTTTGGAATAAACTGATATTTTAATTAAAATTATATTTTAAGGATTTTCAAAATTATAGATATTTTAAGAAAATATAAAATCAAAAGTTCTGAATAAAATCATATCTTTAAAAATAATTGAAATTAAAAAGTTTGAAATTCTAAAATGATAAATATTTTAGTATTTCTTAAAAATAGTATAAATTTAGTATAATTTGAAATTTTGATTAAAATTAAGCTTTTAAAATTTTGAAAAATATAGAAATTCCAAGGCAAAAAACCTAAGTTCAGTAAAATAACATTCTAGAATTAGGAACCGGATCTCAATTTGAAAACAAAAACATAAAATTAGATTCTAAAAAATCTAAAAATTTCTACCATTCTAATAAAGATTCAGTAATATAATATTTTAGAAAATTTGTAAATACTATTTTTTTAAAATAGGAGCAGGATCTAAATTCTAAAATTTAAATAATATTAAATTTGGAAAATAATAAATTCATATATGATGCTAAAATTTTCTAATTTTTTGTATTTATTATAAGCTATATGTAACACCAAAATCAAGTTAAGATCTCAACTAATGTAGTAAATAATCACTAACTTGTTGAGAAAGTGTATATATGGAAATTCATTATTACAAAAGATTTGGATTTTTAAAATTTTAAATTAAAAAATTAGTAAATATGGATACTATACTAAAGTTGGTAGTTGGTAAGATTTTAAAAATAGGTTGGAGATATAATTCATAAAAGTTATCTATGTTGAATGAGGATTTTCAAAAATAATATATATAATTTTTTTCAAAAAATAATATTTATTAAGATATATTTTTAACATCGTTGATTGGGGCCCAACATCGTTGACGGATGGCCCGTCAACGATGTTGGAATTTTTGGGGGGGCAATTTATCCCCCCCAGAAATCTACTTTAACTTATACCCAAGTAAAAGTTTTTTATTGTACGACTTTCACCCGCATCCTGCATCCCTCCGCCACCACTGCCATGCCGCCGTTGCCACATCGCCGCTACCACACAATCACCACTACGTCCGCATCTCCATCTCTAGCGCCGCGCACGCTAAGCCGCCATCGTCCGCATCTGATCTCCGTCGTCAGCGCTCCGCCACGATCGCCATCCTCTTTGTCGCTTCCAGTTCGCTGTCGTCAACCCTAATCTACTCAAGGTAATATTTTTAGCTAATTTCACCTTTTTTACAATATTATGGGTAGTTTGCTCCTATTACCAAAAATTAAAATAAAAAACCCTAATCCAACCCTAATTAAATTGATCCTCACTATAACCCCTATAGCATTATCCTAAGCATAGAATCTTAATTAATGTAATTTTTTTATTTCAACTAAATCCTATATATGATACTAATTTAAGTTTGATAAGCCATATCCTAACTTCAGTTCTCATCAAATCTAACCAATTAAACTTACCTACTCAAGTGTATAACCCTAATTCAACTAATTTTAACCTAAAATTTAGTATTTTTCTATCTCTAATTAACCAATTTAACTTTAATAACTTTAATCCTAACTCTAATAACTCTAATAACAATCTAACCAATTTAAATGTATGTGAGATGTTTGTGGAGATTTTGGGATATTTAAATTGTGGAAATTTCGAATGTAGTGTGTGGATGTATGCGAACCATTAGTTGCGAAATGTGCTGGGAATTTTGAATTTATGTTGTTAATATGTACAGAGAATAACATATTGTTTCAACAGATTTTTTTGCTGATTATAGACATCTCTGACGGGCAAACCATCAAGGATGTTCATCCCTGATGGCTACGCTATTACGGATGTATAACATCCCTAACGGCAAGCCCGTCAGGGATGCTATAAACATCCCGAACAAGTGTTGTCACAGATGTTAAGCCCTGACGGGAGCACCGTCAGGAATGTTAAAATATCATTGGCGGCAGTGCCGTCAGTGATGTTTAAACTACCCAGATGGTGTCCGTCATCAGGAAAGATGTCGTTACTAATAGCTATTACTGACGGCGGTCCATTAGGGATGTTTCTTCCCTGATAAGACTTTTACTGAAGGCGTATCCTTGACGGGGTACCATTAAGAATACGCATCCCTAACGATATTTGTGGCATCCTTGATGAGAAAGCAAATCAAGGATGCATAGATTTCTACTAGTGCCAATCCACTATTATACGGACTCTAAATCTCAATAAAATTTAAGGAGTTGAATTTACCTTCTTATCTCTTAGAAGGAGCTTTGAACCGCGAGAGCGTCCTTTAGTGATAGATTCATCCTATGCAAATTATAATAGAGAGATTTAGAACACATAAATAGATAACATATATGCTTGTAAAGAAATACATAAAAGTTGAATTCAAAAAAAATATCCTAGTCTACGAAGAAAAAAAATGAAAAAAAAGAAATACATAAAAATAGAATTCATAGAAATAATTTCCTAATAATACACTAGAACACAAATATGAAATTATGAATGACGAAGAATGTAAATAATATAAAGAGATTAAAATTCCTAACCAAACATTAAAATATTTGAATAAAAGGGAAAAAAAGGAAGAGACACACCTTTTGAATTATGAAGGAACCAAAGGAGGGGGGGGGCGGGGGGCAGGGTTCTATGAAGATTGAAAGAGAAAATTTATTAAATAAATCATTAATGTGTAAATATGGTTACAGAAGATATATGCCCGACATTATATACATTTCAAACTATTACCTAATTATTTAAATCATATCTAATTTATTCAAACAAATCTTTCACAAAATTTTTCTGCATTTTTTCTGCTTTTTAATTAAACATAATTTGGTAAGTCTGCATCAATAATATCGTGGTTTGATTTTTTTATTTTTTGGCTATTTTGAAAATTTTGTTGTTTAGGATCTCTCTAATTTAAATTTTTTAGAGATATTTTGTTATTTTTCAAACTTCTCTCTAATAGTAGCCATAATCTTTAAAATTTTTGTCATATTTAGAATTTCTGTCATATTTAGAATTCCTGTCAACATTTTTATATCTACTCAAAATACGGTTGTTGGTTGAGACGAGACGACATTCCTACCAGTCAGACAGGCCGACACTCTTGAGTTGATGCGAAAGGCGTTATCGGTCAACCCTATCATTAAGGGCGACCCTACTTAGGACACCCGATCACTCACTGGGCTTTTCTCAGAAATGACTGAAGGGACATTCCATGCTGTCGACAAAGTAGAGAACTCAGCCCCAACCACAAGCCTCTCCCCCAGAGAATATGTCGATATCTCAGTCCATATCGGACAAGCCTTATCCAAACTTTGGCCTGATAGGTCTCCATGGCTTGTCAGTTCAATCACTTCCCGGATATTGTGAAGACACGCTCTCCCATGATGAAGTGACTTTCCCTCCAGTCGTCAGGCGACACCTGTAAAGTGAGGAACGATTCAGTATACTCACGTGCCTTCTACCACGCCTATCTATCACTTCCCAGATATTACGGAGACGTCCTCTCCCATACCGAAGTGAATTCCCCTTTGATCGCAAGTTGATATCTGTCAAGCAAGGGATAATCTTATTATCAGCTCATCTCACCACTTCATATAGAGGTATGACCTTAACTCATGGGGGGAGACAACCTAAGGAAAAAGACTCCTAAAAAACTCCTTCCAGAAAGGGGAGAACGGAGAGAAGCTTCTTCATAAAACACAGAGGAACTCACGTAGATCCTCTAGGCATGCTCATTGCTACCTTAAGAACTATATCGGTTCATGACCTTCCCCTTTTCCCACTCAAGTTTCACTAACTTGACCATCGTAGGAACCACGGGGAACCGGTCCCTTCCCTCTCACAGGTTCTTTTTGTCTGTGTAGTGAGGACATAAAACCCTTGTTCAAGAACCAGACATAAATTCGAAGAAGGGAGCGGGCCCTCCATCATTCCTCATCACCCCGCAACAATCCTCTTCTGGATTAATTGGCTATTTGATATTCAGCATCAATAGTTTGGCATCCACCATAGGGCCACTCTTCTTTTTTGAGAAGACATGCCAAGTTTTGAACAAGGGTCTGATTTTAATCACCCTGAAGAGCAACACTGGAATTGTATCATTCAAGCTAAATAAAGCCTAGAGTTGCATCAATTAAGATAAGGAGGATTAGCCTATTGCTATGAGGAGCCAACATAGGCATAGCCCTTAAGGTCCCCTACAACTTTCTGGGGAGTATTTGCCAAGCAGGCCATCTACCAGACGATGGAAACTGCTTTTGGAACCCCGAGAGCCCTCTTGGAAAAGACACACCACTATGGTGATTGTCTGACTTGAACATGTAGCACAGGCTTCTTATCACCGTCACAGACAAACTCCGGATAAACTCCACCTTCTGGTTAGCCAAGAAACATGGAGTTGGATCACTAAGAAGAACCCCACCTCCTCCAAGGGTTATGAGTAGATCCAATATCACTGAAGCTCCCACTGGCAATAGCTCATATAAGAATAGGAGAAGTGATTAAGTCTGTGATAGGTGCTTGGGACCATGAGGATTCTTTGTAGGAAACTCCCCTATATCAGGGATGAGATTGTGGGAAAAGCTTAGGGTCTGTCAGCTGATCGTGTTCCTAAGAAGAATGATCTTGGCCCTTCAATCGACGCCTTCACCACAAAAGTTACCTAAGCTCTAGTGGTCAAAGCATGTGACCCACATGATCTCCATAAGGGAGAATTCTCTATTCACTGCATGGTCTAGTCCTTAGTACTCCCGAAGCTCCTTCAAGAAAACCGCTACGGTTTGTCATTTTTAGGGTGTACAATACCGGCTGGTGGATTCTCTCTCCAAAAGAATTTCCACCACAAAAGGTACCATGTAGCCTTTCACCATTTAACATGATTCATGGAGTCTGGGTAGTTCCTTTTGCTAAAAATCGGCATGCCAACCATCTGCCTTCAAGACCTTACTGAAGATTCAGACTCAAAAGGAACCTTGGCTGATGAGATGACAAATAGAGTTTCAACTCATCTTTGTTTATCAATAAGTTGTCTGCTATGAAATCAAGCAAAATCTAACTAAAAGAGATTCTATACTGGCGGCCTCATCCACTACAAAATCATCTTTGAAGCAGAGCCAAAGCAAGGTCACAAGTGGTTCAACCACCTTTGAGCGTCAGATGCCTGCAAAGGATATTTTTTATGATAATGTAAAATACAGAACTAATAAAATGTCATTCAATATGAATTAACTCTGATTCCATAGGAATCAAGGCTTCAATATGGCCAAAGACCTAGGCGTCATGTAAGACCTAGGCACCCCTAACAAGCCCTTGGTACCTCGTCAGGAATAAACCCAAGACACAACCCTTTGGCTGACTCCCACAATCGTCTCTCGGCCATAGGGGAAGGAAAGCCCTAGTCAACTCTCAAGAGTTCCAGGTATTCGACTTCTCAATCGAATTTCAAGCCCTTGTACCTTTTCAGGATAAACCCACGGCACAACAACTCCTTAGTCGGATAAACAAGCCCTTGGATCTTTATCAAGGTAAGCCTAAAGCACTACATATGGTCGATTCCTCTGGCTCTCATTGATCATCATGGACAAACCCTTGGCTCTTTATCAAGGTAAGCCTAAGGCACAACCCTATTATCAACTCTCATAATCACTACTCGACCTTAAAGGGATTATGAAGACCTAGGAACCTTCATAAGACCTAGGCGTCCAACCTTAGGGTTACCATTCTGCCAAAATGTATTCATAAGCCTAAGGTATAAATATTAAGTGTATGGCTAATGTTTAATCGATCTAAAAACTTAAGAAGTCGTCTGTCAAAGTTCTGGTCAATTGAATGCTCAGCCAAAAGAAGGCATCAAGTGAACTAGTTATCATAAGTCCCCAACATGGGTCAACACATTACAACTAACTCACTTCAGCCAACATCTTAGATGAAAATGAAGCTACAAAGTTAAGAGAATATAAGCAATGAAGGCAAGCTCAAGAATGGAGATAAAAGTTAATTTTCATTCAAAAAGAGTAAACTTCATTACAAACTTCTCTATAAAAAAAAGATAGACGTGCAGGTCTTCAAAGCTCTTGACCAAGCTCGGAGTCGGACTTAGCAGACTCCTAGTAGCGGCAATTGTAGAAGATTCCCCAGAGGCCCCGACGACAGGCTCGACCTCATCGTCATTTGTCAACAAAATACAACCCGCCTCCAATTCTC